AGTGGCCTACTATTGATGCAGCCTTCGATCTCGGTGAGGAATGTCTGAAGCTGTTCCATTGTAAGTATTCGTCTTCCTATTGCCTTGTATAGTGCCTGTTTGATTGATCTGAATGAGACGCTCGTAGAAGCCGCCCTTCCAAGGCGAATGAGGCGTTATGTGCTTCCATTCAATTAGTTGATTGCTCATTTCTCGATGGACGTCTTCATCCGTTGGATCATTGCTGAGGCTGTCGTTTATGATTTGACTCCCAAGGATGAATATGGGGGCATTGTCACAGATCACTTGCTCTGGTTTTCCTCGTCGAGCGACGAAGCGACGAAATGCATTCAAGAAGTTTTCCGTCGTAGCATTAGGCACAATTTCCAAATGAACAAGTCGAGTTACTGAGCATGTAAAAATGCACCCATGAGCTTCCATGCGTTCCATGTTGTTTCCGTAGATGGGAATAGGACCGAAATAGTCCAGACCTGTATGTTGGAATGGTCGTGATCTTGTTACTCGATATTTCGGAAGATCCGTCATCTCAGGATATTTATAAGGCAAACTGTTCATCTTTTGACATGGTACACATGATCTGATGCACTTCTTGACTTGCTCGCGGAGCCGTGGAATCCAGTATAGATGCCTTACTTCCACTATTGTGTGTCCAACATTTTTGTGATACTTTCCGTGTGCTTCTAGAATTATGAGACGAGACAGCTCTGTATTAGGTAAGACGAGAAGAGGGTTTTTGGTCTCTTCGTCCAGATCCGATTTGTTAAGGCGTCCGCATGCTCGTATGAGAAGGTTGTTGTCCTTTCTCAGATTGAGGTTTTTGAGCAAGTCATTCTTATGTTGTTGATGTAAGTGGACAGCTTGGTGGTTTCTTATTAATGCATGATGAGCGTCCTGAATGTCGGAGGCGGTAAGGTGATTTTCTTGGGACCGAGTGTGAATGTATCTCAGATAAGGTTGCAATTTGTTCCTTGACGAAGCTTGTAGTCGTTTTGTGGCATGTCTAATGAATTTGATGACATATGCGATTATCCTCAGAACTTTTGTTTTGCTGCTATAACGAGAGAGGTCTATCAATTCTTTCGGTTTGTCTGATGCATGTGATCCTGTGATTGATGCGGTCACGAAGGTTTCCATTAGTTCGCCGTCTTGATCGTCAGCTTGGATTTTTATGTGGAAAAATGAGGAGCTGATGCCATTTTCAGATATACTTCGGAGTGAATAGGCCTTCCACCAAATGTGAGAAGAGAATTCTTCTCCTGATGCTCCACGTGTTCCTATGTCCGCGGGATTCTGTTTGGTGTCGATATATCCAAACTGGACTTGAACGTTCATTTCCTCCAATTCTTTGACGATGTTGTAGACTTCTTTCACTCGATTTTTAACATATGGACCAATACCTTGATGATGAATTGGACTTTTTGTCCAATTCAACGCGATTTCCGAGTCGGATAGAAGAATGACTCTGGTGATGCGAGTTGCATATCTCAGACTCAGATAGGTGTTCAGAGTCAATCGTGCTCCTATTGCTATTGCATTCATTTCCATTTTTGGGACTGTGGCTGGCCTTTTGTAGTCCGCAACCTTCGACTTGGCTATCAGGAAGTTGGAGTCATCCTCGGTTGCCAAGTATGTGCACGCCGTCATGGCGATCCCACTAGCGTCGCAGTACGTGATTAGTGAATGCGAGGTTGTGCAATGAGCTATCCTTCGATGCACATTTTTGTGGAAATGCGTTCATATTTTTTGTAATGGAGCGCCATTCGTCTTGCAGATGTTTACTCAATGGTTCGTCCCAACTGTACTTCTCCTTCCATAGTTGTTGTTGGAAGTGCTTGGCTTTTACAAGAAGAGGTATGAGCCATCCAAAAGGGTCATATACTGACGCAATTTGTTGAGCAACTGTCCGTTTACTAACGAATTCTTCTGGTTGGACTTTTATGTTAATGGAAAACTCATCTGTTGTGGAATCCCATCGTAATCCGAGTACTTTGGGTGATGAGTTTGACGACTGATCTTCTGATTTGATTGCTTCCGTTATCGCAGAGGAATTGGATACGAATGCTCTCAGGTTCATTTGAAGTTCGTTGAAAATTGCTTTCAGATCTTTGTACTTCTGGATTCCTTCAGCTACAGACTCCGCTTTTACGAATAGGTTATCCACGTACAGATTTGATGCGATTTCTTCCGCCAAACTTTTGTTTTCCACGTAATTGTTGAGGTGGTATAGGATAGTTGCACTCAACAAAAATGGCGAAGCGTTGATGCCACTGTTGTGAATCTGTGTACTTTT